TGCTGGAAAGAACAAATTCTATACACAGGAGCGGGCGTGGGTAAAAGTCCTCATCATAGTTGCATATCCATTTTATTTTAAAAGCTATTGTTGACTGAGTTTACTTTGGAAATATCTTTCATACGTTTTAACAGTTCGGAGTTTAGAATTGTGCGGCCAACTAAAGGGAATGGACTCAAAGTAAAAATGAAATTCTCTTTTTTTTTAGGTAAGCTACCTTCGATTGAATTCCTTTAGCTTAAAGCATAGCTCTTTATGCGACATACTTTTATTATTATCTATTTAATATATGTATACTACTATTATTTACACTCTGCTCACACTGTATTAAATTAGTAATCCCTGAGGGTCAGGCCTCCTACTTGGGTTAATTCTCTCATGCACAGCATATTTATTAGCAACATTTGCCGCAACATTCCGGTTTCCCGCATAGCCAAAATGTACACAGAGTGAAATACATTTAAATGCGCTCATTTGTTTTAGTTATTTTTCCTGCGATTGAGGCAAAAAGCATTTATTGTTGCATGCCAACCGACGGCGAGTGGAAACAAGTGCACGCGACAAAACAATCCTTGACGAAACAAAAAAGCGAAAAGTGCAGCAGCCCACGAGGCGTATGGAAATATTACGCATACGCCAGCGTTGCCAGGCAGAATATTGATAGGCGGCTGACATGCAATGGGCAGCCCTTCTTCTTCTTTCAAAACAAAAATAATAATAAAAGATCGTTTAGATAAGTGATTATAATATAAAGAGTTATTTTAGCTAGAATGTATTTATGGAATATTAATAAGCACTATCATAAATACTATAAGATCTATCAGCAGATGTATAATTAGAGATTAAGTTTTGACTTTTGACATGCTGAAGAAAAGAACTCCTTCGCCCCACATAATACCAACATCATGTTGCTTAACAGTACCCAATTTGTGGGATCTATTCAAATACGTTCAGCAATTAAAATAATATAAAACATGCAAGCTTCTCATATTTAGGAGAGCTCTAATTAAGCACTTTTCACATGCAAATGTATCTGTATCTGTGCATAGACATATACATGCATCTAGATACAAAAACAAATCTGTGACACAATGCGTCGTGTTGCAAGTGAAAGTCATGAAAGCAAATAACAGCAACAACAACAACATCTAAGCCTTGTGCGCGCCGTCGTTGTGAGTACGTGTAGAATGTCAAAACACAAAAGCGAAAATGTGCGCGATTTGCAGGCAACAGGAAGCGAGGCAGACATGGCGCAACCCCACACCATCCCCTGGCTCCTGCTCCCCGCCCCTTAACTGGCCAGCTCCACCACAAGGCGCGCCCAGCCGCCCAACTAAACCTAAATTGGAATGAGGGTTGGCCAGCATTTAGAGCCAGCCGCATGTCGTAGCTGCAGGTTGGCCTTGCCTGCGAGTTGCTGCCGCATCGGCACAGTGGAGCAGCAGGCAGCGGGTAGCGGGGCATGTTGCAACCGTCAATGCAACCAGTTGGTTAGCACCGCATCCTATTGCCTATTGCCAGAGGATAGCTGTGTGCCAGCTATGTTCGTTTGGGTCGGGGGCATTCAACTTGCAGCGCAAAAAGTAGAAAAACCCTAAATGAATGTGCCCAAAATGCTTTTGAAGTTGTCAAAAGGCTGCGTTATGCGAGTTGACATACGTGCTTCCGGGCCGAGGCGGGGTGGGGGGCATTCCAAAACAAACCCAAGCTACTTTTGTCTATGATCTGTAATTAAACGAACTAGACTTTAAAGTCATTTTCGTATTAGACTAATTATTGTAGAGTTCGAATCGTATGAACAACCTTGGCGGAGGCTGAGGGAAACAGAAGAAAGATTAATCTTAATGAAAAGCCAATTCAATTATTAAATTAAGAATTACTATTGATCAAGATTAGAAGAAAGCTTTATATTTAAGGAAATCTGACTTAGAACCAAGATTGATTTCGAATTTTTGTGAAAATTCTACTAATTTTCTAAATTAGTTATAGATTAAATATTTGATAACATTTTTTTTTTTTAGATGTTTAAAAATTCTAGTTTTTGCCTCTTATTAGAACTCAATTCCGTGCAAAACTTTATATATAATAAATATCTGTTCTGAGCTCCAAGTACATAAAATGTTCGACAACTTGTCCCAACCCCTTCCCCCTCCCCCTACCTCCCACCCACCCACGCAGCAATACCCTAATTTTGCTAGCGGCGAAACAAAAGAGAAAACCTTCGTTGCAAAAAAAAAAAAAGCAACTATTTTACAATGTTTTCTGATGTTTTAGGCCAAAAAACTGGCGATGTTCCCCCTTGGCTCTTGGCTGTGGGTAATGATATGTCACGTTTGCTCTAGACTTTGTTTTATGTGTAGTCGCACTCAATGACACTGCAAGAAAAAATGTTGCAAAAAATGAAAATAAAATGAAAATTGCGCAGCAGCTGCAATAAAATTAACGCAATGGCATGGAAAAGAATGCAGCTCAAAAAAAAAAAAAAGAAAAAAAAACGAAAGAAAGCAAAAAAAGAAAAGCACAAAATGTGCAATTTCTGAGTGGTTTTTTGGATGCGTCGCTTTGGGTGGGTGTTGGTCGGCGGTTAACTTTTTTATGCGCTGCTGCAGCTGCTGTTGCCAACTGCACACGCAGCGGAAATAAAAGGAAAAGCGCAAAGAAAATAAAACCAACTAAAATGGCAAGCAAAAGGCAAAAAAAAAGAAAAACGATGTAAATTAAAGCTGTCGTTAATGGCAGGGCTCAGGCGTCGACTCACAAAAACCCGCTAGAATTTGTCGTCATGTGGAAAATATCTGGAAAATAATTAGATATATGCCAACGCTGGCCAACGTAATGCTCGAAAGGCGAGCCTAGACACGTAACTTGGCTAGAAATGCAAAGCCAAGGCAGAGTGTGAATCAACTTTAGTTAGAGCCTTTACTCAGGCTGTCGACCGTTGTGTCAACATTAAAAATATATATATAAAATAGTAAAGCACAGCCTTGAAGTATTATAGAGTTTACTCGAAGTATAAATGTATTTTAGTTAGAGCAAAACAATATTTGATAACCATTTAAGGCTTAATATGATGATAAGTTCTTGAAATGCCTGTAATTAAGAATAAAGCAGAATGCCTCCTCTTTTCTCATCAGGCAGTGCCCATTTTATGGTGACTCTTCTGCATGTTCTTCAGGTACACAAGTGCTGCTGGGTGCACTCACACTCACACACACACACACACACACACACGCACTTATAGAGCAATATAATTGCGCTCGTTTGGAGAGCAGGCGTACTTGCAAGTGCAGCCACTTGCAGTGCGTGGGCGGCGGGCGTGGAAAAGAGCTATAATACCCACTGCAGACAGTCTCAGTCTCTTTCACACTTACGCACACACACTCGCACACACGCAGACACACTCGCACAGTTGGATGTGTGCAGACCACATTCGACGCTCTGTCATGTCAAAAGGATGCTGACTGACCAACCCCTTCCAAGCGTACGCGTCAACCAACCCCTTCCTCTACGCCTCTGCCTGCTGCTGCCATTTGCTGTTAAAATTGTATGGCGTCAACTGTACTTTTATGCACACACACACGCGCACACACACGCACGCACACACATACTCGAACCGCCACATACGTAATTCATTTCATTCTCTCGCACATTTTTATGTACGAAATTTTATTTCAATTCATTTAAAAATATGTGTAATGCTTCCTTTTTTCCTCTACGTTTTTTTTTTGTTTGCTGTTCGCCATCCTTTCGACTTTTGTGCTTCGATTTTCAATTGCCAGGCGCAGCAGCAGCCTATCCAGCCTCAGCCCCAACCCGCACAGCCACACACGCCCATTGACCGCTGCCCACTGGCATTTTCGTGCCCCCCCTCAAAAGGGGGGTTTGGGGCATTTTGGGTGGCTTGTTTCACCCTTTTGCGCTCGCATGCTTCTGCCTGTCCGCGCAATTTTTTCAATAATTAATTTTTTGCGCGTAAATGCAATTTGCATGTAGATGAGCGCTCACACACACACACACACACACACACACACACTTACCCACATGCATATAGTGGACATATATGTGCTGATGTGTATATAAGTCCGTTATATAATAGGGGGCTATTTGTTGGATGGCCGCAGCGTTAAGCACCGTTTTTATTGCCTGCTTTTTGGCGCGCATTGGCGCCATCTCTTTCGCACAATGCGCCAACCAAAGCTCCGTCTCACTCGCACACCTTATGCGTACGCTCTGCTTTGCGCCAGTCTGTACTTTTATTTTATAATTATTTTTTAAGAGGCATTACCCGAGAATTATACAGAGTGTATTTGAACTTATCATAAAAATAGTTAATTACCAGGCGCAATTCAATTGATAAGAAATTCGTGTATTCTCATTAGAGATGTGCAGGAACTAAGAATTCTTATCAAAAATGCGAATGTTATACTCCAATAATTAAGAGTCAATATGCAAAACTCAATAATACTCTAAAGTTTAAATCTATAATTCGTTTTTTGAATTTTGCCAACAAACTAACAGAAACAGTGCATCAAATTCTGCTCTAGTTATTTAGTTAGATAGCTTTGCTAAGATAAAGCTTGATCTATCGCAAATCTCATAATGCTTATAAAAAGGTTTACAGTTTTAATCAAAATCTTTAACAAACAGTATTTAGCTTTGATGATAAGGATATGCTCGAATAAATGTATTAAGAGAGGTAAGCTGATGTTACCCGGCATAGCTCAGTCCGTAATACTTTCTATGAAGCTTACCAGATAATATGGATATGGTCAGAAACTTTATCGACATTTTCCTCGACACTCCTCAAATCCCCTAAGAATACAATAGATACGTAAATGTTTGCTATAAATTATATATTATATCGAGCTTGAACCTTTCAGGAAGTTCTCAACGATAACAAAATGTGATGTACCCTAGGTAAATTTTATACATATATCCAAACTTTTGCTTCAATTAGAAAGGGTTTCTTGTCTTTAATCTTAACTTTGACAAACACTTACCAAAATTCGTTATCCCAAACAGAGTTTTTTAGCTTTTGTCTGTGATTCCTGATCCAAGTGGGTTTTCAAATGACTCAAAACTGTGTCCGTGGGGAATGTTGTTAATTTTAGTTTGGCCCAACTGTTTGTTTTTAAAATTCTCAAATATGCTTTGTGTGTGTGTGTGTCTGTATGTGTGTGTGTTGGTTTTCAATTGAATTCCGTTTGTTGTTGTTGTTTTTTTTTATTTTATCATAAATGTAATATAATTTAATGTATAGTTTAAAACGTTTGCTTTTTGTTTATAAGTTTTTTATCTGAATCTGTTTTTTTTTGTTTTTGTTTTTGTTTTATTTGCTTTCTGCACTACGAATAATTAATTACTTTGATTTTTGGAAAATTGTTTTTACATGTTAATTTTTGTTTTTGTGGTTTTTTTTCTGGATTTTCTTAGGTTTTGCCACGATATGAATATTTGCCTTTAGTTTAGATTGTTTTCAATACACTCGAGCGAGATATTTTGCATACATACATATATATATGTGTGCATATATGTGTGTGTATATGTATGTGTATATTACCTCAAACTGTCTCGTGCTTTGCTTAGCCAAAAAACACACACATCAAATGGATTTTGCGCAACATTGGCACACAATAAATTTTATTTGTTTTTGTTTTTTTGTTTTTTTTTTGTTTTTGTTTTTAACTTTTTTCTGCACACACGAAATGTTTTAGACGCTTTCTGCTGCTTGTTTTGATCGCTTTTCGTTTGATCGCTTCAAATTGTTCACCTTTTTTTTTGTTTTCATCAAAGTTTTGAAAATTGTTTTTCTGCTTGTTTTTCGCTTTGCTCCCAGACTTTTTCAGAACATTTTTGTTGTTTTACGAACGTAAATTTAAAGACGAAATGACGAAAATTGAAACCGTAACTTAAAAAGTTTTCTTTCTTTTTTTTTTTAACGACAAAAATTGTGTATTTTATTTATGCTTTTGTAACTCTTTAATTTCTGTTTTGTTTTTAGTAATTTGTGTTTTACGATTCGTTTGAATGAGACACAAAAAATTTAACAAATTTTGGCTATTTCATTTTTTTGTTTTACTTTGTTATTGGTTTTGCTTTTGGCTTTGGAATTTGACTTTTGATTTTTCACTTCTTTTTCGGTTTTCGGTTTTCTGTATTCTGTTTTCGTTGCTATTTTCTATTTTGTTTATCTGTTCCTGTTGCTGTTTTTTTGTTTGTTCGGTTTCGGTTGCTGCTTTGTTATCGGTTTATCGGTTTATCGGGCTATCGGTTTATCGGTTTATTGGCGTTTTTGTGTTTGTTTTTTTTTGGTGTTTTTAAGGCTATTTCGGTTTCGTTTCGATTTGTTGCTATTTTTGTGTTGCTTTATTATATTTGTTGTTGTTGCTGTTGTTGGATTGGTTTATTGGCTGTGTTTGTGTTTGGTTTTATTTCTGTTTTGTTGCGCTTTGATTTTTGTTTTTGATTTTTAGTTTTATATTATTTCGTTTACAGTTACGTTTAGTTTGTTTCTTTTTTGCTTTTATGGTTACAATTCGCTTGCTATTATTGTGTTCTCTTCTCTATTATTACTATTATATTTATGCTTTTATTTTGTTTAATTATTATTTGTAATTGTTGTTGCTTTTATTGTTGCTGTTGTTTGTTGTCGGTTGGTTGTTTGTTGTTGCAGTGGTTGTTGTTGTTGTAGTTGTTGTTGTTGTGTAGTAGTTGTTGTTGTTGTTGTTGTTGTAGTATTCCAAATTTTGTTGTGAATTTTGTTTGTTAAATTTTGAGAAACTAACTAAAAATCACTTTTTATTTTCGCTTAAAACTGAAAGTTAACTTTAATTTTCTGCTATTTTTTTTTTCTATTTCCCGTTTAATGATGTTTTGTTGTTGTAGAATTTTTTTCTTTCGTTTTTTTGTTTTTGTTTTTTTTTTTTTTTAAATTATATACAAATTAATTGATAGAATGATTGAAATAAATTAAAAGTTATTAACTGATTGCACTTGAGTTGTTTAATTATATTGTTATTATTACATTTGTAAATGTTATTATGATGACTTGTCGTAGTATTATATAATTATTTATTATTATTATTATTATTATTATTGTTATTATTATTTTAATTAACAAAACAATATTTTAATAAGTATCAACAACGTTTTAACGTAATCTTTAAAAATGTTCCAAACAGTCAAAAAGCACCTGTGATAAAAAGTTGAAGAAAACATAAAACGATTAGCGAAAATTACAAATGAATCAAGTGTTATTTAGACAAAAAATGCAGCTCTCAATTTCCAATTTTCATTTCAATGCTGTGCAATTTTATCAGATATAACACAGCAAAAGCCGTCGGCAGGTGGAAATATGAGAACAGCACAGCAGGCCGACGGCACTTGGGCAAAGTATTTCAATGATAACGGATTCAATTATTATTTGATAATTATTATTGAATATCGAATTAGCCAGAGAGCGACAATAGTCGTGTGTTTTATCGTAATCGATGTCATTTGGTTCATCTACATGCTTTGCCTCACTTCCTGTTAGACACGCACAACTACAACCGCAGACAGCCGCCCGCACCGCCCCGCCCCGCACAAGCACAATAGACGAACCTAAGCCCAGACACACGCATTGTCTAAGCTCGGCGCGCGAGCGACAGCACGCGAATGTCGAGGCGGAAGAGAGTGGAAGAGAGCGCAAAAGCGCCAACGGCAGGACTGCGAGTAGGTAAATGCAAAACTAAAGCGAACAAACAACAATTTCAAGTTCAAAACGCCGCTATTTGCCAGAGGATGGAGGGTGGAGTGTGGAGTGTGGGCGGCGGTGCCTTGAGTGGCCAAATAACAAATAAAGCGTACAAGGCATTCAATAACGGTAGAAATGGCGGCAGAAGTTGCCAAAAATAGTGCTACAATCTAAGGCTATTAAACAAAGAAGAACGTCAACGCGCTGCCGCCGGCGACTGCAGCGGCATCGGCAAATGCAGAGTATACTTAGAGCCACCCACACAAATGTACAAAAAAAGCCACACGACGAAGCTGTCAGCTACAGAACGCATTTACATTTGGGCACAAAATGAATCAAGCGATTAGATGACGTACAATGGAAGAAGTAAAATCAGCAATAAAAATACACGCACGCATACATACATGCATACATACATACATACATACGTATTGGAAAAGTTCATATAAATGGGCAAAAATTGCCGAACCGCGACGATAGTCAATGCTCCCCATGAATAGGTACTCAATCAATCCGTAAAAATACATGCATACATGTGTACGCATGTACATGTGCATACATACATACATACATACATATGTGTTTTGTCATTAATTGAAACTGTTTTCTGTACTTATTTTTAGAACTCTCTCTCTCTCTCTCTCTCTCTCTCTCTCTCTCTCTCTTGTTTCCACTTGTGTAGCACATTTGCCAAACAACAAATACTTATTTTTGGTAATTTTGTAAGCTGAATTGCATTCACAGATACAGTATGTCAATAAAGTGTTTTTACTAACAAAAAAAAACTAATTTTTTGGGTTTAGTTGAAAATAAATGTACCTAAAAGTGAGAATTTTTTTTCAATTATAATTTATTTCGATTCTATATTTCTCCTAGAACTTAATGGCAAAAAGAATTGTTAAATAACATTACCCAAACATTTTATAAAATTAAAAAACTAAAAACATTCACATTTTATGCTGTCAATAAAGTGTTTTTACAGCTACGGTAAATTGTTTTGCCGTTCTCTTTTGGGTGATCCCGTTAGATTTGGGCCCATGCGTTTTGGCTTCTCTTGTGTCTTCGACTTTTCTTGTCATTTTCTATTGCAATTTATAACGTTTTGCTTTAATTTTATGAAAAATAAAATGCCAGGAAAAAGAACAACTTTTGAAGTCGCTCAGCTGGTGTATTATAACCATCAGATGGGACGTCAAGTCTCGGAACTGGCTGATATGTTTAATTTATCAAAAGCAACGATATACAACATATTAAACAGAGCCAATAAGGAAGATAGGCTAGAGGCAAAGCCAGTATGTGGTCGACCCTGCAAAATTTCTGACAGAGATAAGCGAAAAATTCTGAGAAAAATTGAGAAAAATCCACAAATTTCGCTTAGGGATATTGCTCAGGAGTTCAAGGAAGAAAGTGGTGTTGATGTGTTACATGAAACTGTCCGAAAATTACTGAATTCCAATGACTACACATCACGAGTTGCCAGGAAAAAACCTCTACTATCGGCGGCGAATATTTTGAAGCGGCTATCGTTCGCTCAAGTCCATGTAAATAGTTCGAACGATTTTTGGAGTAACGTCATATTCTGTGACGAAAGCAAGATGATGCTATTCTACAACGATGGGCCATCCAGAGTCTGGAGAAAGCCACTAACAGCGTTGGAAAACCGCAATATTATTCCAACCGTTAAATTCGGAAAACTATCAGTGATGGTGTGGGGGTGTATTTCGAGCAAGGGTGTAGGAGATTTGACCTTCATTGAGAATACCATGGATGCTAGACAATATCTGAGCATTTTACAGACACATCTCGTCAGTAGTGCACAGAAATTTGGATTCTATGAGGACAATAAGCCAATTTTTAAATTTTACCAGGACAATGACCCGAAGCATAAAGCTCATATGGTAAGAGTTTGGCTGTTGTACAACTGTGGAAAGGTGTTAGACACTCCACCACAAAGTCCAGATATGAATCCAATAGAAAATGTGTGGTCATATTTGAAAAAAAAAGTCGCAAAGCGGAGTCCAAAATCAAAAACTGATTTAAAAGCTGCTGTACTGGAAGAATGGCAGAAGATTCCAGAAACATACATACAAAACCTTATTGTTTCAATGAAACGGCGATTGCAGGCTGTATGTGACGCTAATGGCAGCCACACAAAGTATTAAAAAAAAATATTCCTGTTTTTTTAACATTGTTATTTAGTAATAAAGTTTCGTGTAAAAACACTTTATTGACAGCATAAAATTTGAATGTTTTTAGTTTTTTAATTTTATAAAATGTTTGGGTAATGTTATTTAACAATTCTTTTTGCCATTAAGTTCTAGGAAAAATATAGAATCGAAATAAATTAGAATTGAAAAAAAATTCTCACTTTTAGGTACATTTATTTTCAACTAAACCCAAAAAATTAGTTTTTTTTTGTTAGTAAAAACACTTTATTGACATACTGTAATTGTTTTAATCACTTTCTATGCTCTGACACTTTTGTAAAGAATTGAAAGAATTACATTTTCGCAAAAACTGTATTCCTTAAAAGTAACTGCATTGTTTTTTGCTCCTGCACTTCACACATGCATATACATACGTATGTAAGTGTATTGCATATTTATGTATGTATGTATGTATGTAGCTGTAGATCACTTCAGTAATTTATTTTGCACTCATGAAATGTGGTCACTCAAGTCGTTGGGCTCAATGGAATATTGATACTGTTATATTTTACACATGCCTACAAGCATATTTACAGTTTCTTTTTTACGTTTGAATATTTGTACACATATGCATGTATGTATGTATGTATATTTGGGTCTGAGTACATTTTCCCTTTTACTGTAAATTCCAAAACGATTTTATCTTTTAAGTTTTATGTGTAAATCGTGTTGAATGCACCGTTCACACTATCTCAACTAACACACAGCGTCGTTGTTTAATAAATGTATCGCCATTGCGTCTATTCCACTATTCGTTTGCTTTATTAAGTATCCTGTGCACCCACATTCACAAGGCCGCAACGCACAGAAGCGTCTCCGAGTCACGAAATTGGCAATAAAACATCCTTAGAGATTCATTTTTCGCCACTTCTGTTATTTTTTTAAGACGCCCCACACGCACACACACACACACACACATACACTCGAATATATTTATATAGATATATCTACACGCAAGTGTAAGGCGAACGAAACAAAACACACAGTAAATAAAATGATGGAAACAACACGACGAGACAAGCGCGAAAGGTAGGAAGTGTTCTCCGTATGTATTTATGTGAGTATCCCAATTGGAGCTGATGTATCGGCATCTCGGCAGACGCACAGAAGGCGTAAAAGACGAGAAATTGGACGGCATGAAGCGGAATCAGAAGAAGACGCAGACAGCAGACACAGAGAATCAGAACACAGAACAAAGCGTAGACGAATTTAGCGCGAAAAATTGAAGCTGAAAAGTTAGCGCGACGCGCGCTCCACGAAACGCACCGAAAACGGCCAAAAAGATGAATATGTGCAAAAATCTTTTGCATACGCTCAAGAACCCCATGAAAACGAACTGCCAAGCCAAGCAGAGACGCTGACGTTGACGCTGGCAGCGGCCGCGACGCCAACAACGACCGCAACTGGGAGAGCAAAAGAAATGGAAAAATACGAAAAAATAAAAATTAAATGCTGGCGGGGGTGTGTTGGGGGCGGCAACAACAGCAGCGACAGAGACTTTGCAAGAGCTTTTTACAGACGCGCGCGCTCAGGCCACAAAAACGAAACGAAATGAAACGACGCGAACGCAAAAAGACGATGATGACGACAACCACGACAGCGGCGGCGGCGCTGCTGCGGCCCCCTCACTAAACACACCGATACACACAATCGGAGCGGCGAGAGCGCCAAGACATGACACTGTATGTGTGCATGCGAGAGAGCACAGACAAAGGCAAGCAAAGCGAATAAAAAGCATCGACGAAAAAAGTTTGCAAAAAGCAACTTGGAGGTGTGTGCATGCGTATGTATATATTGCTGCTTGTGTGTGTGTGTGTGTGTGTGTGTATATACAGATAGATCTGTATTGGTATCTCGCTGTGCGTGCTTGTCGCGCGACTGCTTCTGCTGACGCGCGCGTCGCTGCCGACGTCGCGTGTCTTTGCTGGCCGTTGGAGCCAAAGTTGTTGGTAGTTTGGGAGCAGAGAAGGGTATATGTACGTTAACAGCGCCGCTGTACAGCTCTCAGCGCACGTCCCAATGCATGAGTGTGTGTGTGTGTGTGTGTGTGTGCGTGTGTATGTGTGTGTGCAGTTGCGACAGGTCTGACGTCTGAGCAAGCAGCGTCATAGCCGCGGTTGTCTCCTCGCGCTGTTCCTTTTGGCGCGCAGCGCGTGAAAGTGTTACGATTTGAAAATTGCCCAGCTTAGAACTGGGTAAATCAAGTGCAGGGGGGTGGTTGGGCGCGCCTTTTAAATTTTTGACATGCCA